TATAGTATAGATATATTGTCTGAGGTCGTTGGTGGTGTGTTACTATAGTTACAGATGTATATAATAGATATATTGTCTGAGGTCGTTGGTGGTGTGATACTATAGTTACAGATGTATATTATAGATACATTATCTGAGGTCGTTGGTGGTGTGATACTATAGTTACAGATGTATATTATAGATATGTTGTCTGAGGTCGTTGGAAGTGTGTTAGTATAGTTACAGATATATAGTATAGATATATTGTCTGAGGTCGTTGGTGGTGTGTTACTATAGTTACAGATGTATATTATAGATATCTTGTCTGAGATCGTTGGTGTTGTGTTACTATAGTTACATATGTATAGTATAGATATATTGTCTGAGGTCGTTGGTGTTGTGTTACTATAGTTACAGTTGTATATTATAGATATATTGTCAGAGGTCGTTGGTGGTGTGTTCCTATAGTTAGAGATGTATATTATAGATATTTTGTCTGAGGTCGTTGGTGGTGTGTTACTATAGATCCAGATGTATATTATAGATATCTTGTCTGAGATCGTTGGTGGTGTGTTACTATTGTTACAGATGTATATTATAGATCTATTGTCTGAGGTCGTTGGAAGTGTGATACTATAGTTACATATGTATATTATAGATATATTGTCAGACGTCGTTGGTGGTGTGATACTATTATAGATATATTGTCTCAGGTCGTTGGTGGTGTGATACTAAAGTTACAGATGTATATTATAGATACATTATCTGAGGTCGTTGGTGGTGTGCTACCATAGTTACAGATGTAAAGTATAGATAAATTGTCTGAGGTCATTGGTGGTATGTTACTTTAGTTACAGATATATAGTATAGATAATATTGTCTGAGGTCGTTGGAAGTGTGTTAGTATAGTTACAGATGTATATGTATTGTCTGAGGTCGTTGGAAGTGTGATACTATAGTTTCAGATGTATATTATAGATATCTTGTCTGAGATCGTTGGTGGTGTGTTACTATTGTTACAGATGTATATAATATATATATTGTCTGAGGTCGTTGGAAGTGTGTTAGTATAGTTACAGATGTATATAATATATATATTGTCTGAGGTCGTTTGTAGTGTGTTACTATAGTTACAGGTGTATATTATAGATATCTTGTCTGAGGTCGTTGGTGGCGTGATGCTATAGTTACAATTGTATATTATAGATATATTGTATAGATATAGTGTCTGAGGTCGTTGGTGGTGTTACTTTAGTTACAGATATATAGTATAGATAATATTGTCTGAGGTCGTTGGAAGTGTGATACTATAGTTTCAGATGTATATTATAGATATCTTGTCTGAGATCGTTGGTGGTGTGTTACTATAGATCCAGATGTATATTATAGATATATTGTCAGAGGTCGTTGGTGGTGTGATGCTATAGTTACAATTGTATATTATAGATATATTGTATAGATATAGTGTCTGAGGTCGTTGGTGGTGGGATACTATAGTTACAGATGTCTATTATAGATATATTGTCTCAGGTCGTTGGTGGTGTGATGCTATAGTTACAATTGTATATTATAGATATATTGTCTCAGGTCGTTGGTGGTGTGATACTATTATAGATATATTGTCTGAGGTCGATAGTATAGATATAGTATCCGAGGTTGTTGGTGTTGTGTTACTATAGTTACAGTTGTATATTATAGATATATTGTCAGACGTCGTTGGTGGTGTGATACTATTATAGATATATTGTCTGGGGTCGGTGGTGGTGTGATACTATAGTTACATATGTATATTATAGATATATTGTCAGACGTCGTTGGTGGTGTGATACTATAGATACAGATGTATATTATAGATCTATTGTCTGAGGTCGTTGGAAGTGTGTTACTATAGTGACAGATGTATAGTATAGATGTATTGTCTGAGGTCGTTGGAAGTGTGTTACTATAGTGACAGATGTATAGTATAGATGTATTGTCTGAGGTCGTTGGAAGTGTGATACTATAGTTACAGATGTAAAGTATAGATATATTGTCTGAGGTCATTGGTGGTGTGTTACTTTAGTTACAGATGTATATTATAGATATATTGTCTGAGGTCGTTTGTAGTGTGTTACTATAGTTACAGATGTATATTATAGATATATTGTATAGATATAGTGTCTGAGGTCGTTGGTGGTGTGTTACTATAGTTACAGATGTATATTATAGATATATTGTCTGAGGTCGTTGGTGTTGTGTTACTATAGTTACAGATGTATAGTATAGATATATTGTCTGAGGTCGTTGGTGGTGTGTTACTTTAGTTACAGATATATAGTATAGATATATTGTCTGAGGTCGTTGGAGGTGTGTTACTATAGTTACAGATGTATATTATAGATATATTGTCTGAGGTCGTTGGTGGTGTGTTACAATAGTTACAGATATATAGAATAGATATATTGTCTGAGGTCGTTGGTGGTTTGATACTTTAGTTACAGATGTATAGTATAGATAAATTGTCTGAGGTCGTTAATGCTATGTGTTACTATAGTTACAGATGTATATTATAGATATATTGTCTTGAGGTCATTGGTGTTGTGTTACTATAGTTACAGATGTATATCATAGATATATTGGCTGAGGTCGTTGGTAGTGTGTTACTTTAGTTACAGATGTATATTATAGGTATGTTGTCTGAGGTCGTTAATGCTATGCGTTACTATAGGTTCAGATGTATAATATAGATATGTTGTCTGAGGTCGTTAATGCTATGCGTTACTATAGTTACAGATGTATAGTATAGATATGTTGTCTGAGGTCGTTAATGCTATGCGTTACTACAGGTTCAGACATTATTTAAGATCGTTGATGGTCAGGATCGTATAATCATGTATGTATAAATATTTACTAGAAAGTGCGGCACAATTCAACAATATTGAAAATGCAAAAAAATAATAACATCGCTTTGCGAACGCAATATTGTTTTTGATTATGCAAAAATATAATTTTATGATTTTCTCCTCCTGGCATTCAATACATGAGACTACTCCAACAATGTTAGAGGTTTTACACGGCGAAAAACTTTTGACAGGCGACGCGTAACCTCTAACTGCCCATAGCTGATTTTCCCGATGCTGACTATCACATTTTCAAAGTTCGGATTAAGAAAGAGTATATCGTGTTTACATACATTTAAATGGTCAAAAGGGTCCAATAAATATTTCTTTCCATAAATCCATGATTGTATGAGAAAAAATTCATGTCAAAGACATAAATAATGAGTTGTTCCTCATTCGAAGCGAAGCAGACAGCATTTGCCATGATTTTTCTGGTTAATACAAAAATGGATTACATATAATGTTTCACAAGCGGAATACAAACAAACTCCGTAACATTTCGTTCCGTTTGAAATCCCCCCTGATATTTTGTATTAATCCAGAAGCCATGTTTTAAATGTAGGTCAGAGATGTGCTACAACGACATGGACATGTATTTTGAGTGTTCTATTCCGTAATATACTATATATTTGTGTCTGTGACATATATATGAGATCTATATTATATAAACCGTGAGTAGACATCGTTGTCATGAACTGTTAACCACTTATGTGAGTTTTTCAAGCCGATTTTGTTCCGCCCGGATTTCGGGTGTAAACTGCATCAAAGAATTAGTGCTTTGGAAATGAGAGGTCGCAGTCGGCAAAATCATATCTGATTGAAAAAAGGCCGACCAGCGGCCTCTCATGTTATGGGAGTATACATGAGACATGCTAATACTAATAAGGCCTCCGAACTGTATCTGCGTATATTTCGTTGAAGTTTTATGACGCTTTTGGGTAAAACATTGCACCTCGAATTTAACAAATTGATGGTTTTGTGGTTACAAATCCATAAACACACACAAATCAAAGTAATGAAAAGTGTGTGTTGGTATCTCGGGGATATTACATGTATTATAATGATGTAGTCCAGGTCGAAGTTTAAAACGTTGCACTAATTGATCTTTCAGATTTTGTTCCGATCGACCTCGAGGAAGCTGTCAATCAGGCACGAATCATCGGCGTCATCGTAGCTGTCTGTCTGGCGTGTATTTTCCTCGTTACTCTCACACTCACCTACTTCTGGTACAGAAACAAAAAGGACACCGGCTTCAGACAGGCGTCGTAACCAGGGGCAACAGTAACCAATGACAACAGTGCCCATAGTTATCACTACAATCATCCTTACACATTTCCGGTCAATAAACAAGATAACACGTACTTTTAAGTGAGCAGAAAGCTCTCCAATAACCAGAGTGGCATCGACCATGATTTACCAAAGATTTAAGAGAAAAATATCGTAACAATGGCAACTGGAAAAGTCATCGCCAAGTGACGATTGAACTCAAATCACAGCCGTAGATACGGCATTAGCTACCATGGAACCGTATCCATATCGGCATATCACACTGGAACAATGTGTATTTTTTGTCGCCATGAACAAAGCAATTACGTATTAGAAATTATGAAACCGAGTTGTAGTCATGTTTTCCATCAAACCGTTATAAGGGAGACCACTCCCGAGTTAATACAGAAGGGACATAACTCTGTTGAACTTGGTCTTATTATGTGATGAGTATCGCATTGCCAGATGAATGAATGTGCGCAAGCTAGGTCCCGAGGGTTGGGAGAAAAGGTTCGTGTGGTGGAAACTGCCCGTGGGGTAACCGCTGATTAAATTGTGGTGTAGAGCAAGCGTAATCAATAGATCAACACTGGGCTCGGCACAGGACCTCATCGCCTGAAGTATGAGGCATGACTCAGATCGTGTAAATGTGTATATTACGTCGATCTGATTAAAATCATATGTTACATGGCTTCGTTAACTTCGTACTACGCCTGAACCATGTAACAGATGATTTTAATCAGATTATGTATTATGTGTACGTATTTTTTGTTTCAGACATTCCTGATCTTGAAACGAATAATTTGAAAATAATCGCGTTATATTGCAGAACCAAAATATGATACAATTGTTTTATATATTATAATACATATATGTGGTGCAAAGTTGAAATTTACTATGTTCGCGTATTACCTCATTGTTACTATACATGTATGGCCTAGAAAATGAAAACAGCACCATGTTTGTAAGTGATAGGAAATACCAAAGTGATGAACGTTATTTTACTTTGGGTAATTGAGTGTCAGAATCGGGCATTTTTTGTTTAATCACAGGCACTTGAGAATAGGTAACCGAAAATGGTTATACATAATTAACAAAAATTATACGATGATTTAAACTTTTTTCGTATCTATATTTTCTATAATTTAAATCCAAATGCCTGCAGTTATATTGCATATTTAAATTACATGACCGGCTTGTCCGATTATGCAAATGAGTAAGTGGAACACGTGGGGCCACAGATAGACATCAGGGTTGCACGTGTGGATCTGCACGTGTAGGAGTCACGTACGTGTGATACACTCGTGCCTACAAGGAATAGCGAACATGTTAATTTACAAGAAATTCAGTCACGAATCTTCAAAATGTAATACTAATGTGACATATATTAAGTAGGATACGTCTGTTACTATTGTATGTGGCGTGTCGATCGGGTGATAAAGAGGCTTATAGTTACAATTAAGGTTACAATTAAGGTGTACGAGTAAAACAAATCAGGCCGTTAAATATTAAAAGGTTTAATTTCGATGTGAAATTAGGAATATATTAAAGTAGTAAGAGCTTATAGAGTAAGGCTGTAAGAGTAGAAATGGTCTACTCTGGTGTAGGCATCGTGTATAGGATCGGGCTTTACCAGTAGAAATAGTTCAATCTCTGCTTTAAAATTAGAAATAGTTTACGGCAGAAGTATATTTATTTAGGGTTGTAAATATAGCAATGGGTCGAACTATATAGATTTCAATCGTACAGGTAGAAATATATTAGAGTATGGTTTGTTTGTTTTGTAGATTCTCGATGACACAATCCTTTTTAATGAGTCCTGCAAATAAAAAAAATATACATCACAAATATTGTCCAGTTATGTTTTATATTTGTATTCTACTTCTCTATATGTAAATGCCTTTCAGAGCTGCCTCATATATATGTAGCTCATATATATGTAGCTGTCATCATGCCTGTTCGGAAGAACCTCATTTACTAAATCAAATCTGGAATTTTAATAAATTATCTTCCATGCCAATGCTAGTCTCTTTATTAATTTCTGAGGTCTTTCAAAACCGTGTACAACAGAGTTTGTCATAACACTTTTATTGTCGTAATTTCAGTGCCATGTCTCCGCTGTTTTATATTTCTCTTACAAAACATCTCATCCGGTTTAAAACTCTGTAGTCAATTCAACATATAAATGACTGTTTCACGTAAAAGCATTGCATAAGTATTCTCTTATGTACCCATTCAGGCTATAACTATAGAGTTATAATCTATTATCAGCTAAGCTTGTTATATACAATAGTACTTGTTCCCAATCATCAGAATGAAAATGTCTTTGTAATTATACATGTTAATTGACATGAATAAAATATGGTTTAAACTAAGCATTCACTTCAAATAAAGTTATGAATAATCTATGCGGGATTTCAATGTATGTAACTTACTGCAAAAATCATTGACATAGATTTACTTTCATGTCGGGGTAGACCGCTCAGTGAGCCAGAATTTTGTTTATAGTCATGGACATGCGTACAGGGTTAGGCAAAAAGGAGATATTTTTGTAGTCTTTTTCAAATTTCTACTTATTTCATATAACGGAAATATACTATTTCGCAATTAATTTATCGCATTCGAGATTAAATATTCGGCAGCTCTCGTTTACACAGTGAACGAGAACTGTTGATTAATGGAACGTTATCCTGTCTAATGTTGTGAATTCAAGCACAGTTGAACAAGTTCAATATAAATAAGATGAACACTGGCAAAATAAATCAGTAGAAGTCAATTAATAAATTGGAAAAACTTACCGACTAATCCCTTTGTCAATATGCTTGTTGTCAATAAAATATGTTTAAACTAAAACAAATCGCATGAACATTTTTTTAAGAAAACAAGAACAAAATCTAAATGTTTTATTATTTATATTTTCAGAGCAGGCTGACAAAGGACTGTAAAATCCTTATTTTGTCAGAATAAAACCTGTATATTAGACGAAGAATGTACATCACACATTGATATTTAAACCTCTAAACCGTCGATATCTAAACTGAACGTCAGCTTCACTTTGCCGAGTAGCTTGGTAATCCAGCAGACGAGACTGTTCTAGTGTTGCGGTACGACTGTTATATTCTCCCTATCCTCAGCTTGTATACTGCCCAGTATATAAATGTCGCTATTTCTATTCTGTTACACACAGTCATTTATTACACCTGTACACACACATACCGCCGACGACTTACCTGTGCTTTCACTGCTCCATGTTACGGGCTTACAATAACTCTGTAATTTGATTGGATGAAATTGTGATCGGTGTCATTTCGTCACACAGGTGTATAGTAAGCGTACATGCATATGTCTATATGCCGACACGTCTCTGGAGTTTACTGAGGTCAAGGTCAACAGTCGTACCCACGCCAAGGCAGGAAGGAAACGCGAGGTAAGTCGATCTAAGCTAGAAAATGCAGCTAGACTCTGAATATTGTGTTTTTGGTGTGTATTATATGAGTGAAGAACAAAGTGAGATGTTCTCTGTCCCTACCGTATCCCAGCAGTAGTCAATGCCGCCGTGTGAACGCCAAATCGATCAATTTAGTCACCTGGAAATTTCAAGGTGATCGGGGATCACCGGCTATTTTACAAGCCCTGACCGCATGGCTAGTACAGGACCGCTGTATTTTGTTGTAAAACGATATATTTGATCATCAGAGAACCAGTCGTTGGTTGTGGCGGTGAAACTTGTGTGTGAATTTGCCGCTATACATGTTTACTTTCCACAACCCCATATAGCGATAACCTTGGTGTATCATTCCATGGGCTTGGATAGCATTGTGAACGTTTTGAGGACAACGGGTGCTGTGTCGCTTTGGAGAGCCCTCCAGTCTATATTTTTTACCAGATTTGTTAATTGTACATTTCAAATATTTCAAAATGTTTATCTCCAACTTGAGCGTATTTTTATATAGTATTTTGCAATACCCGTTAAATGACTAAGTAATACTATATAGGGGACATGCATGGTCAGTGTCGTGTGTATAATATATTATTTTATTTGCCAATTTCATATTTTATATTCACACAGGATTTATATAGAGCAAATTGTATACTGTAACGCGGTGTAATTGTCCCACTAGCACCAGTATAGGAGGGGGGGGGGGGGGGGGGGGGGAGAGGGACACAAGCAATTACGCAATGCATTTTTTCCCACTGTCACCTTTTATGGGAACAGACCAAATTACTAATTGGAGGTCTTTTGTGTAATATTTCATCTTAATCTTTTTTTATATTAATGGACCGATTCCATCAAATCAAATGTTATGACCGATAGGTAATGGTCACTTTCCTTTCTGACCCAAGTTGGCATGACGTCACTAAAGCTTATGACATGCAAACATTTAGGACCCTTTAAAATTAAATGCACTAGCATATGACCTGCTACAACCATAAATCTATTTGTGAATTGGGACTATATGCAGAATTTTCCTTAGTCGTTTGTTTTATCGTGAGTTACAGAACTGTACATGACTTCTACAGTGGAACCATGCATGATATGCAGGTGTCGTCTGACCTTTGTCTAATAAATATGCCAGTCATAAATTTCAGTCAAGTTAATGCGAATTTCAAAACACGGTTTCTATCATTTGTATAATTTTTGTAGGTTTCCTTTTTTCCCTTGTCGAAGTTTGGAGAATCTTCAATAATATGACAAATATACTTCCAAATGATATACCATCTTACATCACCATAGCAACAGAAGAAAATGAGTTATTTTACTTTTCTGGAGGCATTTAAATAAAAATGTAGTCTTTATAATAAAAAGTTTTTTAAGTGACGTGACCACGTCATGTCATAAATCCAAATTGTGACGTCACTAATAAAAGGGCTTACCTTCTAATTCTCCAACTTCAAAGCTGATATATAGCAGTTGGATGGGCACTCCAATTCTATATTTTATTTTATATGTCGTGGGTTTTTTGGTTTATTTTTTAGTAAAAAAAATATTTTTGCCCTACGCGTCAAACTTGAATTTCGAGATAGGGGAGACTACTTAGTATCATCCGTTTCTATCTATGACCAGATTCGAATTTGGTTGAAACTGTCGGAAACAACCAAGCATTCACTTTGCTATATGTACGAGTCAAAATGTCGCGAGGAATATTCCAGCTTTCCGGATGGAAACTGACAACCGTCGACTCGGCCAAAAATTGTAAAATGGACTTATGAAGCCGTGCTATTTATAAACAAGATCGACAACGACTTAGTTAAAAAAAAAATATGTATTATTGGCCACATGTCCCGAACGATGTAGTACTGAACCGGAGTGACAGTCCTCGCATTGGATGTTGACATCTTAGCATTACGCACATTGATTCCCCCCGTGTATATTTATGTACCGGAATTAATTACCAGGTGACGTAATCATTTACCACGGGAACCATTTATACCTATGTTATGCTTGACATTCGCGTCAGAGCAAAGCCAGCTAGCTGAGCAGCCAGATGACATGTATGAATAATGAATATCTTCGTGAATAGCTCGCACTACCGCTGATTGTCTGGGGGAGCAATAACAGCACGGATAGTAATCAAACACTACTTCAATACATCAGTTTCCAAGCTGTGGACTATGTAACCAGTAGTGAGGATGTGAATAGTAGCTTTAAAACAATTTGATAAACGCGAGATCATGAAGACATAAATCCAATATTTTTTATATAATAATCTTTGACTAACTCGGAACTTACGGTAATTACTGGTTTGTAATTATGGACTGTGCTGTTTCGTATCAGAATAATATAATCACGTACTTGTTCTGCATGAGAATGAATGTGAGCTCGTTTATCATCATTGGGGGACCGAAAGTTGATCTGAACTCCTAAAACGTGTAAAAATACTATGAACACCTTCGTTTAGGTCCAAATATGGCTGTAGCAAATTCTCAAGTCCGTGTGATTCCGACCTATATATTCAGTCAGATGAACGTAAGGGGTGGGAGGAGGGGGACCCTTACACAGATGTACACATGAATGTTCCCGACGTCTCTGTGAGCTGGGACGTTCAAACAATAACTTACTATACGTAGTATCTCAAGTAATACAGCGTGCACGTGACATTGAGGATCAGAATGCACACATGTTCGTATGCTGCACGTGTATTGTATGTTGATGTCGCGGCGTGTTGTTTATTATCGAACTTGACATGAAATTTGGTGTCGGGAGATGAGCGTCTGATACACAGTTCATATAGCATTTGCTACATCAGCTGGGGATTTACGTTAAATCGTGTATGTCCTGCCTAAACGAAATTGAAGACAAATTCAATGAAAAGAAAAGTCAAAAATTTAGAAATGTTACCACAGAGTATATAAACTTTCTTTAAAAACAATACCAACCAAATCTCGGTCAGATTGCTGTTTCATTTCAGGCACTATAACACTGAACTCGTATTGTGTACCTGTTTGTGATTATCTGTACCCCCAGACAACCTATGTTGTAGATATGTGTCACCTATTTGCTAATTTTAACCGTACACACGGTATTATCTGTAAAAAGTTTCGAGTACTGTCACACAATACCTTTGAGCATTGTCCTAAAGTCTTGACACCGACTACGCTCCCCCGGGGTATTGATTATGTCTCCATTTAGATAGGAATGTACCCGACATGATACGCATGACCCGGGGGTACGCATACAATGGTAGATCAAAGACTGACGCAATGACCTTTGTGGACCTGGCTATTGTACTGATAATCTGACAGATAACAATGCTAGTGTTGTACCTACCATCCCAATCGTTGTCGGGAACAGGGCATGTGTGTAATATCATAAAACGCTAGCTTATTTATTCTCGTAGCTATCTCAT